TTCGTCAAACCAAAGGGCATGACCACAAACTCGTAGTGTCCATACCTGGTTCGAAAAGCAGTCTTGTGTTGATCTTCAGGCGCCACCTCGATTTGATGGTACCCCGACTTCAAATCAATTTTGCTGAAGTACTTGCATCCCTGCAGCTGATCCAACAAGTCGTCAATTCGTGGTAGGGGTTCAGCGTTTTTCACAGTGACGGAGTTCAACCCTCTATAGTCAATGCATAGACGCAACTCACCTTCCTTTTTGGGCACAAATAAGACAGACGCTCCATAAGGTGAGGAACTAGGGCGAATCCATCCCTTGTCAATTAATTCCTGGAGTTGCTTGCGCAATTCCTCAAGTTCCCTAGGCGACATTCGATAAATAGGGCCCTTAGGAGTCTTACTTCCAGGAATGATCTCGATAGTGTGCTTGATAGCACGCTCAGTGATCCCAGTAGGTTCCTGAGATAGATCTTTATACTCATCTAAGAATTTTTGTATCGATGGAGGATAAGGTGTCGAAGACTCACCAACTTCCTTTACCAACACCATCATTACCTTGCTTCTTCCTGACCATTGATCGAAAAGCTGGATAGCTCATACAACAGAAAGACAGAGTAGAGTCAGATCCAGACTTGTGATACAGTTTGATGGCCTCGAGTTCAGATTATGCGTTTTTCAGGTGTACTTCCTTTTCCTTGAACTTGATTTCTGGGTTGGCTTCCTCGTGCCAATCCATTCCCAGAATCATATCAAAAGGCAAGTTCTTCTCAATTAGGAAAGATACTTCATGCACAATCTTCTTTCCAGTTTTAGTTTTGAACTTACATTTCACACGATCGACATAATGAGAGACAGTGATCGTGCTTTTATCAACAAGAATAGACGTGATAGGTCCTGCTAAACATTTTACCTTCATTCCAAGATGAAGCTTGCGAATAGCTCTCTCAGAAATGTAGGACCGTGTAGCTCCTGAGTCTAAAAGTGCACCCGTCCGTTCGTGTGCGATTTCTACATCCGCGAGTAATAGTTCACCCTTAGACTTTGCTTTCTTTGCCCATGAGTTTTGTAGTGCCAGCAACTCATTACCAAGCTCATCAAAGGAGTCATCCAAAGAGACAGAACATAAGACAGGTTCAGGGTGATCTGGATGATGGGCCGGAGGACAACCATCCTCTGCCACGCGAGTCGAAGAAGTGAAAGGGTTAGTAGGCGCCTTACCTTTCTCATCGTCTGACTTCTTCAACTCAGTAGGAGTAGATGCTACTCCTACTGGCAGCTCGCTTTTGGGTGTCGGATGAGTGGACACCATGCAATGATGTGTCCCTCCTTTCCACACTTTAAACACTGCGCATTGTCCATCCTATCTTGCCAGGTCTTTTGGTCAATCTCCATTTTCTCCCACGGCTTGAATGTCGTGATACCTGGGTGCGCAGGAAACGAGCGCGGTTTCCTCCCTTGATACGGACCTCGTGGTCCTCCTTTGTTGACCACGGCAGCAGTGACGTCCCCCTTTCCGGATTCACTGCTGTTAGGAACTCCTTCTTCTTCTAGTGGTAGCTTCTCCACTGTGTCGTCGTAAAAGACGACAAGCATGTGGTCCTGACGCTTTTGGCGCCAAAGGACTCGCTTACCGTATCTCGCACATGCACCTGCACCACCAGATTTCACCACAGATGCATATGACTGTTTAACTTGAGAAGTCATTTGCTCTCTCTGGAGAGCCAAATCACGAAACTGCCGGTACTTGTACTTACCTGACTTTGACTCGGCCACTAACTGTCCTCTTATAGGTTCAGGTTAGGCCCGGGCATAAATATACAAGACCTGATCATCCTGCAGATCTAAGCCTGGTACTTGCAGCAATCAGTCGACCTCACGGGACAACGCTTCCACAGACGTCCAATGTTTTTGACCTATGGTAGTGAGTTGTTCGAAGGCCTTATCGGCCGTTGTCTTATCAAGGAAACGTTCCCGGATCTTGTCCAGGAACTGTTTCAGGGTCATCGTACCAACCCACTTACCAATATCATCGAATCTGGCTGCGTTAGCTTCGGCCAGGACCCACTCTTTGGCCTCCCCTCCGAGACACGACGTGGAGAAGGCGACCTGTGATTCTTCTTCTACGGGGGTCGTCTCGACGTAGGTCTGTATTTCTGCAATCCACAGTAATAAGTTTTCATCCTTCTTATTACTGAACGTGAAAGGCAATTTCATCTTTACCTTTTCCTTCTTCTTTGACTTCTCAGTTTTCTCTTCTTTATCTTTCTTTCCTCCTGATGGGTGAGGACTGGATGGTGGACTTGATGGTGGCGTCGGTGGAGGAGGCCCAGATGGTTCCCCCTTCTTTACTTCGACCCTGATAGCATCACCCATTAGTTTCTTCACAGGTTGTTCCTTCCGAACCTCTTTTTCCTTTCCTTTGACCAAGTTAGTCACATTCTTCAATCCTACGGTCAATTCTTCCAACTTTGCTTTAAAATGGTCGAGCCTTGTCTCCAAGTGAGCAAGGTACTCAACCAGTTGGTTCAGTGCCACAACCTGTTCTTCCCCTGACACAGTTACCACATGCTGTCTAACTTCTTGTTTTCGTTTTGCTTGCTGTTCATCTTGTTCTTTCTTCTTTAGCATTTTCGCCTTTCGCGTTTTCTCTTTTTCAAGAGCTTCTTCCAATTGGCGGATGTTCTCATCAATCGTCTGTTCCGTGACCACCACATCATTTTTGGCATTTCTGCCATTTGCGCTGTCTTCGAACTGCTGATAGATGTGCGCATCCAGCGCTTTACGACACTGGATAATGAACTCCTGTATCTTCAATAGGTCGGTGCCAGTCTGAGCTGCATCCAGGTCTGCCTGGGCTTTCCGCAGATCAAACTGGGCCCTCACATGTGACTCAGCCTCCGCACCGGCATCGTGCAGTTCAGTGGCCAGAAGGTTGAGCCGTCCAGACAACAGTTGTCGTCTATGCTCAACCTGAGCCCTGGTACGAGGGTCAGGGAGCTGCTCAACACTCTGGCCCTCAGCTGGGGTCTGAACAGTCTCTTCCTGAGACATTTCAGTGTGGGGTATCTACCGCACAATAAACAAAAATTAATTTCGCGGCCCCACAGATTCCAAACAGTAGATTACAGCAAGGTCAAATGACAGCAAAAATAACTGCAGAATATTTTCAATTATTTTTCTTTTTCTTTTTCTTCGCTGTTCTTATTTATCTAACTCAATGTGATGACGTGCTTTTGCAGGTACCGATCCGGACACAGTGACCAGATACACACAGGTGAGTATGCCAGCACAGGACAAACAAACGACACAGGGAAAACAAGCCAACATCAACAGCAATCAATATGTCAGCATCAATAATCCCTTGCGTCAGTCCTGATCAAAGCAACAATCACCCTGTTGCGACAGCTGGCACTACAGCTATTCAATTAGCTGTACCGCCTCTGTCGTCAGAATGATCCTCCCACCCAGGCACACACGTGCCAATCACGTAACACCCCGGTAATGCCAACTCAGCAAGCACACAACACTTGCCACATCAGCATCAAGTGATCAATCAATCAAGAGGGGGGTGCCACGTCAGCCAATCTGGCCCCCAGATACAACTTCAATCAAGCCGCGTCAACAGGGAAACAACAACAAGTCAGTATCCCCCCTGCCACGTCCGCAATCAAGGTCCCTGCTCAAGGTCTCGCCAATGTGATACAACTCTGCTACGTCAGCAAGATCTTCTCTTCATCTTCAATACGTCATCATCTTCTTTTCACCGGCGTGCGCACTCTTCTCTATTCTTCTGCCACGTCAGCAGCGCGCGTCCGGGTCTTGATCGCGATAATCGTGAGCACGTTCGTCGTCGTGATGTCCTTCGTCGTGGTGATGTTGATTCTCCTCATGGACGTGATCACGTTCACTGTTGTGATTACGATCGGCTTCTGCGTGATCACGTTCGTGATCGTGGTCTTGATCGTGATCCTCTACGACATCATCATCAAGATCCCGATCGTCAAGATCATCAGCGTCGTCGTCAGATTGACGAGCGCACGTGCGCGCGTCCAAGATCCGTCGTGATGATCTTCCTCACAGTTGTGATCACCTACGTGATCTTGATCTTCGTCACGATCGGCGTCATGAAGCTCCTTCCTCGTGGTGTTCTTCTTAGTGATCACCTTTGTGATCGTGATGATCCTCCTCGTGGTCGTGCTTATGCATGATGGTCGTAAAAATCGTCGTTGTGTACCGCCACGTCAGCGCGCGCACGTGCGCACGCGATGCACCTTCTCGCGGTGATACGGAAGAACTGCTCTGATACCAAACTGCAATGAACCCAGGCGAGATAACACACATTGGACATGTAGATACTGTTCACAACGACGCACGATCATCAGCGCTCGTGCAGCACAAGTCCAGTAGCTCAATGACAAAGCAACTCAAGTAATCCAGTCTTGTTGATGAATAATGTCGAACTGATCTGTTCCCGTAACCGAGTATATACATACATAGACAAGAAAGAGAGAGGGGGGAAGTAGAAGAAGAAGNTCTTGTTGATGAATAATGTCGAACTGATCTGTTCCCGTAACCGAGTATATACATACATAGACAAGAAAGAGAGAGGGGGGAAGTAGAAGAAGAAGAAGAAGAAGCCCACTTCTTCTTCAGGCCAGACAGATTYGCCCCCTCTCCAACAACGTCATTCCAGATACAGATCCGAGTTCCTCAAAGTGCCACGWGGCACAYCAGCATTCTCTTCATCAACRGAGCAGCAATGTCRCCTCAYACRGGTACGTGTCATCTCATCCCCACAGTYCCTSATCTCCTTCCGGACGACGAAAGTCTGAACAGCGAATGAACACGTGGTACAGCCACGYCACCAACACCCTACGTGGCAGCAGCCACGTCAGCARCGACACGTGGCGCTGCCACGTCAGCACCTTGTAGACAAGAGCAAGCCAGCCCCCATGCCAGCAAGCAAGCAGCATGTCGCCGCTGAGGAGCGCCAGCGTCCAGCCAGCAATTAGCCAGCACCTCACAAGCCAGCGTTGCGTCGAAGTAGAGTCAGCCTTGACTCGCGACAGAATGAATGATGTCAAAGCCAGGAGTCCACCTTAAGTAGTGTTGACTCGGGGTCAATGCCCCGGTGCAGTGGTCCTGTGCCGTCAAGATCTTGATGCTGTGCCGGCCTGGATCGGTCTGTCACCGATTCTCCCTTGGTCCGATGTCTTGGCCTGGTACCTGCATACAAACACATGTGTGTATCTGTTCCTGGACTTGGGTACGGTATCTGCGACTCGACAGTTGACTTTGACCTTTGAATTTCCCCAGTCCAGCGCTGGGTCTCACTGGCCAACGATGGGCTGGGCCGGGCAGTGCGTGGTCACACAGCCCGGCCTCTGCTGAGTGCTACTGCATAGTATCCAAAAAAAACAAAAAACAAAAAACAAAAAAAATGATAATAGGTTCCATGATGAACTTGTTCCATCTACGATCATATTGTGTCCCACGCCCTACTTTTGCCATTCTTATGACGCAAGTCGTAAGAAATTAGTAAAATTACTTTTGCCATTCTTATGACGCAGTCGTAAGAAATTAGTAAACACATGAAATCTCTCCCAACCGATTGCACCAAATTGGCATTGAAGAACGTCATTGGACTTTCTTCAAGTTATCTTGGTGAAACATAAACAATAACTTGGTGAAACATAAACAATAACTTGGTGAAACATAAACAATAACTTGGTGAAACATAAACAACGTTGTTGTAAGAACTTACTGCAGCTTACTGGAACTTACTGCAGCTTACCGGAACTTACTGCAGCTTACTGGAACTTACTGCAGCTTACTGGAACTTACTGCAGCTTACTGGAACTTACGGCAACTTACTGCAACAAATCATTTGACTGTCTTGGTAAAAAAATAGGTTCCATAAGATCAAAGAACCTACGCTCTTTTTTTATCTACTCTATAGTTTCCGCAAGAGAGAGTCAAGACCCTTCACAATGGACACTACCTTTCGGCAGTGCTGACTGGTACGCCGTCCGTTGGCTCTTTTTTTTCACTCCTTGAACCCGTCGACCGACTCGAAAACATTGGACTTCCTTCGACACGATGGTTTAATGGAGATATAGCCTCAAACAAAGGCGTCTTTAAAGCTTAAAGTTTAAACATAACACGGAACTGATTAAGCATGCTGCCATAAGTGCGGTTTAAACTTTAAACGGGACAGAACATCCCTGCCAATGGATGTTACGTGTTACCATGCAACTCCACCAACCTGTCCATATGCCTACCGTCGTCACCCGAATAGAACGCCCGGTCATTATTGCTGTATTTAGACTGGAAGTTGGCCCAAATACAGCTATAATGACCGGGCGTTCTATTCGGGTGAAGACGGTAGGCCTTTTTTTCGCCCAAATGCATTGAAGTTGATTTTGAACCAATGCAATATACCAGTTTATGCATGCTTCATCCTCATAAGGAGTCATCAGTGCAGTGGCCGGACACACATGAAATCTCTCCCAACTGATTGCACCAAAAGTGCTTTGTCCTCATCAAGACTCGAGAGCGGTCAGATACATGACGGACGTTTCTCTTGAGCTATGCCACTGAATGCTACCTACCAAGTCATACCAACTTACCAGCTAAAAAAAAAGAAGGAACAGTGACCAGTATGTATTTCGCCGCTCTAGGTATAGGTGGAGCGGATGGCGAAACAGTTCGCAGCGGACGTCACCATTCAACAACTGCCACTGTCGTGTGACGAAGAGGTCCAGTTTCTCCAAGTCACACGACGTTGGCTGTTGACTTGTACTCCGTAAACGACTCGTCTTGTGACTTGGAAACACCAGAGCTCTCGTCACACGGGTTTGAACAAAAGCGGCTTCCAGTGTGAACTTGTCTTGTGGCATGGAGACATTCTCCTCACACGCCGCTCGGAGGAGAAAGGCTTCCGCAAAGTCGGCTCGGAACATAAACTCGCCTTGCGGCTTGGAAACACCGCACTCGTCTCAACATGCCACTTGGCGGTGGAAATATGTTTGAGAAGGTGGGTTCAACCTTTAAACTTTAAACTTTAAACTTGAAACTATAAAGTTTAAACACAAGCTGAACTGATGAAGCACACTGTGACTGTGGTCTAGGTCTAACTGGGAGTCGGTGTCCTGTACTACCCAAAGAAGTGTGTGCTACCGCAAAACCCCAGGAGCCTATCCATATGGATCTTCTGCTGAATGCATTGGATGGAGGCAAATTGCACTATGCGTGTTTCATCCTCACCAGGACTTGTCGGTCGTCAGACACGCAAATCAGTATCGGTATGTCCCTGCTCTAGATCGGCAGAGCGGATATCGGCAGTTGCCTTGTGCTCCTTAAACCACCACCACTACCTCCGAGCATTCGATGGCGAAGAGCGGCACAACGTAGCCTTTGATGACACCCACCACTGGCACATGCAGTTGCCTTGTGCTTCTTAAAAACCACCACCGCTTTCCTCCGAGCCTCTTTTTGCCGAAGCGGAGTAGAACTGCACGCCAAGCTTTTTGCTGCAGCACCAGTGCGACATTTTTTTTCCTCTTGTTTCGGCTGGTGCTGCCAGCCATTTTGGTCTGGTGCCACTGGCGGCACTCGGCCTCCGAAGAAGAATGCGGTATCTGTTATTTACTATTTTGGTCGGGTGGCACTGGTGGCACTGGCGGCACTCGGCACTGGTGGCACTGGCGGCACTCAGCACTGGTGGCACTCAGCACTGGTGGCACTGTCGGCACTGGCGGCACTGGCAGCACTGGTGGCACTGGCGGCACTGGCGGCACTGGTGTTATATTCATGACTTAGCCGTCGCGTCTGAAAGGTAGTGGTGGTGGTTTAAAGTTTAAAAACTTTTTAAAACTTCAAAGTTTAAACTCATCTTTGGAAAATGTATTGTACTATTTTATGCAGCAAGGCCTCTTGTTGTGTACTAAAGCATATCTATCTAGGATGGGCCATTGCCACTGTATGAAGATTGACGGGCACTGTTTATGATGTGGCAATTGATTGGGAAGAGATTGAAAACCGGATCCATCATCTGTATCATCATTTGTATCTTGGTGGAAAGCAAATCTGGCCTTCATTGACTCATGGTTGCTGTTTCTTGTTTCACTCTCTTACATTCTGCTTGTGGTTATTGGGTTTTGGATTCTTCTGATGTTCGGAGTGTTTTGAATTGACATTCTCAGGTGAAAATGAAGTGGGAGAGACAGATGACATGTTCATCATTATGACTCCGCAGAATGCCGTTGGAAATTGCATCCTCGATGTATGTTCCTCTTTCATTTGTTTTCCCATTCCTCACGAGATGGTCGCGTCACGGGCTGGCTTGTAATGCTGTGATGCTCCCCTCTCTTAATTCACTGCAGGCTGCTGCCTATTTGCTCCCCACTCTCCATATTTACTGGAGGATGTCTGTTCCCACTTCTCTTCCTGATTCCTTGCCTTATGATACTTGTGATGCAGGGAACGAGGAAGAGAACTTGTACTCGTCACAGAAAAACCTAACCCTAAACCCTAAACCCTAAGCCCTAAACCCGAACCCTCAACCCTAAACCCTAAACCCTAAACCTAAACCCAAACCCTAAACCTAAACCTCACCCTAAACCCTAACCCTAAACCCTAAACCCTAACCCTAAACTCTGAACCCTAAACCTAAACCCTAACCCTAAACCCTAAACCCTAACCCTAACCCTAAACCCTAAACCCTAAACCCTAACCCTAAACCCTAACCTAAACCCTAACCCTAAACCCTAAACTCTGAACCACCTGTACCGCTGACGTTACTGATGGTCAGTAGCGATAGTGTTCTACTGCCTGCTTTGTTTTGTTGCTTGCATTGTTACCTGCCTGGCGTTCCGTTCACAACAGGAGTTGAAGCAGGCAATGGCGTATTGGGTGATTCTGCAGACTGTTGAGGGTTCAGTTTCCTGACGAGGCATTGAGATGGAACACATGTCGCTGTCCCGTGTCCTTTTATTGTGTATATTTTTTCATTGGGGCCCTGGAATGCATCTTTGGATCCTTACGTTGTGTCTTGGGACCGTGAATGAAATCACATTTCCTTGTGAAGCTAGCTCGCTGGAG